CCCCAAAACCCCAAAACCCCAAAACCCCAAAACCCCTGTTTTTTATATAGTTTTTGAAATATTAGATAAAAATGAGTTCTAATAAGAATATTTTTGTAATGAATTTTTGACCATTTAGATTGAGAATGAAGGTGAGAATACTGAAGATGCTGTTCAAACTGATGATGGCACTGCTACAACGGTTGAAGAGTACAAGATTAGCTCTTTCGATCCTACTAGTGATATCTCTGATCCCAAGGTAGTAGAAATTTGGGTAGATAATATACTTAAGGATGCAGAGTCTGTGGAAGATTATCATAAGTTTCTGAAATAAAAATAGTTTAAGCCCTTTGGTAAGATATGGAATCGATAGAGATCACTTGAAATACCTTGGAGTGGCCGATCATAACATTGATAGATTATACAGAGCATTCTTTGTCTATAGTATTGGATTCTATGAGCTTCTTCAAAGTATCACTGTTGGAATTAAGGCGAGTAATTCTATAAACCATTCCGAAGTTATGGGGTCTCTCTGGAGAGTATACAGCATTCTCCTAGAATTTTGATGTAAAAGTGATTATAAACTTCTCATTTCAAAGATCAAATCAGACCATGAGATTGAAAAAGAAGGACTTAAAGACAGAATTCAATGGCATCATGAAAGGTTTCTCGAGCAAGAAATTGAATTTAGGAAAAAGTTTAAAGAAGCAGAGATTGAAAATGCAACTTATCTGAAAGAGAAAGCAACTACAAAGAGATACATCGCTAAACTTAATGATATTATTACTGATCTCAGGGCTAAAATTGAAGAGGAGACCAAAGTTAGGAAAGTGTTTGAGAATAAACTAAACGACCTACATTCAATAGTTAGGGATCGAGATGCAACCTACACTCGTGCAAAAGTGGATCTTGATCATTTATTACAGGATAATATTAGCAAAGAGGATCAACTATTCAAACTCCTGAAAGAATACAAGGAAATTTCTGAGAAATAAAACTGAATTTCAGGTTCAATATGATGCTACACTACAAGATCTGAACAAGACTCAGGATAATCTTGACAGAGAGAGACTCGAACGACTTAAAGAGGTGAAGAATCTTAAGAATGAATTAAAGACCACCAAAACAACTCTATTCAAAATTGAGAAGAACTATAAGGAAAATCTTAGTGAGCTCCAAAGTAATCTCAAAGTTTCATAATTTAGAACTGAGACAAGTTCACCATGAAATGTCTAAGAATTATTCGGATGATAAGGAAACCCTTAAGAAATATAACAGAGATTATCAGAGTATCACCAAGCTGGAGTCTGTCATTGAAAGTCTTCGGAAAGAATGAAATGAGCTCACTGAGGACCTAGCAGGAACTAGAGAAAGAGAAATCCAGTACAAGAAGATAGCAGAAGATGCTAAGAAAGAAAAGGACGAGATCAGAGAAGAGCTTAACCAGTTTATCGTTAAATATTCTGGGTTGCAAGGAAGATACGTAGAGGTCGAAAATCATCTAAACAACAAAACCCAGCAATTAAAGGACCAAGGAATCCGACTCGATGAGACTGAGAAGGAAAGAGTAAAAATTCATGAAATATCTGAACAAGCGAAGGCTAAGAATTTACATCTAGAAAAAGAGCTTAAGGAGAAGTGCAAGATGGTTGATATCCAGCGAGAATCAATGAATCGTCTAAAGAACAAGTTGATTCAAGCAGAGAATGAATATGATGCGCTCAATGGAAAACATAATACAGATAGAGAGGTGCTACAGACAGAAATTTATCAGCTAAAGCATGAAGTCAGCGTTTTGACTGAGAAAGTTAACGTACTCAAGAATTCAAGAGGACATTTGCTTAAAAATATGGACACTGAGGCCCAAGAAAATGAAAAATTGCGAGGAAAAGTTCATAATATGAGGAATAAGCTCTCTGATGCATTCGCTGATAAAAAGAATATTGAAGGAGAGCGGAATAAATTTGATATGATGCGAATTCGGACAGAAGAAATCTTATTAGAGAAAGAACAACAATACACCGATCTTTTCAAGCAAAAGGAGAGTTTAAACCTGATGCTAAGTACAAACACTGAGATGCATGATCATTATGAGAAGAAAACAGGTGAATACATTCAGAGAATTAGAAACGAAAATAAAAAATTGAAACTTCTGATCGAACAAGAGAAGGATAGAGGATTAATGATGCATGAAGATATCAGAACAAGATGTGCCTATGCATGTCTAGAGTATCAAACTATGCTGCTTGAGAAGATAGAGGCCCAAAAATAGCATGTCTGGTAAAAACGCCAAAATACACTCGCTTGAATGTGATGTAGAAGTAGCTCGTATAAAAATAAAAAGCCTAATGGAAGAACTTGAGATTGCTAAGAAATCTCATAATGAGCTAGAAAGCAAGTATAATGCTAAAAGAAATCAAATTGCTCTACTAAAGAAGGAACTTACAAACCTAAAAAGCGAGAATGAAATATTTAGGAGGGTGATCTATGACCCAAATGTGAGTAAACCTTTACCTGAGGAAAGGTCTCAATCTGATCTTAGTAAGAGTGTTTCAAGGGCGATTGAGATCAATAATGGAGACCTAGTCCAAATCAAAAATGTTATCTCTGAGACCAACTCTGACTCTTCTTACAAAGGTGAGACTCGTGATGTTGGGGTCCTTACAGATGCATGAAAACGGAAAGATAACTTTATGCAAACAGAAGCTCATGGATTTATTGAAATACAAGATATTATTAGAAGAAACTCTTTTATCAATGTGAATAGGAAATTCAGTTCAAAAACAGCGGTTGGGTTCTGCTACAATCCTGATGATGGAAGGATATCTAAGGATACCCATTCTGAGACTGAGATGAAGAATTATATTATTCCTCCTAATGTTGGGAACAAAAACAAGACTTTAAAAAATAATGAGTATAAAGACATTGAACAGATAATTAACTCTGAATCTGAAAGCGTAAGTAGAGAAACAAATCCAAAGATGAGAAATAAAGATTTAGAAGACTCGATAAAAATAGATGTATCTCCTTTAGAAAAAGTAACCACTATAAAGTCAATACAAAATAAGAAAGGAAATATTGTGGTATCGAAAGTAGTCGATTGAGTTCCTCAATCTTCTAAAGACATGAAGAAGAGGAGAGTAATGCAACCAGAAATTGTTGACAAGACCAGAGCTACTACCTCTAAGAACCAGATGAAACCATTGATGACTCCTAATTATCTAATTTTGCAAGGAAAAAGAGCTAAATATTTGAAATCTACTTCGAGGTATAAAAAGAATCCTTCAAGTATCGAGGGAGAATTTAAAAGTACTCTGATGTCAGAAAGAGTCTCTAGAAATACATCAACTGATGAACTTAAAGAAACTATGAAATCAGTTTACGGAAAGGGCAAGTAAAATAACTAATCCATAGACCCAAAATCAACAAAAAGAGCATTTTCTCCTATAACTAAAGCTTCTAGTTTCCACAACCTTAAACCCATAGACCTAAAGAAACTTCAAAGAACAAAAAGTCCTCCCCTAACAACCCCCAGCCACCCAACCAGATATTTCAATACAAGGAACAAGTAACATCCCCTAAACTCTATAGAAAACTGGTATCATCCAGGCAAGATTTGAGAGATCATATTAAAAGAGCTGTTAGCAGACAATAACTTCAATTTTGTAGGAATAATAAGGGGTTTTGGGGTTTTGGGGTTTTGGGGTTTTGGGGTTTTGGGGTTTTGGGG